ACCCTCCAAAAAAGGGCTCCAAAGAAAAGGATAGTGATTTGGACTATGAGCATCAGCATCATCTGGATATGATAAGTAACATCAATAACCATCAGAATCTCAGAAGGAAGCATCGATATACTGTTTCCTTCAAGATGGGAGTATATATCACAGCATTCCAAGTTCTGAGTAGCATGTGATGTTTTGGGCTGTTTAGTAAAAAAAAAGAAAAGCTGCTATTAAACAACTAAATTGCTAGCATTTCCAGTCATTTAAACTTGATGGTTTTGTTTGAAATGCTTATTGGTGAAAAACACAGGTTACTTATCTGCAATAAAAATTTAAGACCTCAATCTATTGCAATTTTAATACTGCTTTACTGCCTGGGTCCTTCTCTTCCAAAACTGAGCCAACAAGCAATACTAAATCATTAAAGACTGTTAAGCATAAATGTGCTTTCACTGCCCTAGGCAAAACGAACTCATAATAAAAATAGGAAAAAAAATGGAGAAAGCTGGTTTTGAGAGAATAATATGACACAATCAGAGGTAAATTATAACAATAGAATAAACAGCTTGAGAACACATATTTTGAAACATCTATCATAGGAAACAAGCATGTATAGTGCTGAAGAAACCTTAGTCAAAATCATTTGCTTTGCATTCCATGGATTTTTCTTTATTAGGGCTTTAAAATGATTAAGATTCCCCCCACCTCTTAGTTCTTCTCCTAAAGTATTAATGCAGTTATGTCAAAACTAATATCAGGCCCTGCACAATACAGACATTAAATAATTTGTTCTGCTTGATATATCACATTCCATTCTTTCCTTATTTTTTTCTCCCCCCAAATATTCTGATTACTGACTGGGACTCTCAAGAAATAGAAATAAATTATGGGCAACTTAAATATGCAAGTGCATAACCAAAACAAAGTAATCTCAATTTAGTATTCACTGTGAGCCTGAGCAACTGAAAATCAAGGAGGCATTCAGCATAGCTTTTTAATATAGGCCATGATCCAAAGTGGCCCATTTATGATCGGAGAGCATGCACTAGCTTCCCCTGTTCCTTTCTTGTTCATCTCACTTAGTGCCATGGAGTTTCCTGACCCTCAAGAGTGGCTTTTGGGGACCACTTGAAGCTGAGAAAGGTCCAGAGTGCATGTGATGCTACACGTAGTGTTTTGGATCCTAAACTATAAACACTTTCCATTCTGCTGAGAAACCAATTTTAAAATTTACATATATCTATGTATCTGGGCACGTTATACTAATGAGAGTACTTAAATTAAGTGCCCTCATTAGTTATAAAATTGTAACATGATACATACAAAACATTAAGTTACTGATATAAGAGCATTTGCTAATTTTCTAAAGAAAGCAATGTAATTGTTTTCAGTTAGGATAATGTTAAATATTTTACATATTATTTGACTGAAAATAATATAACAGTAAAATTGGTTAAAACTTAAATCACCTCATTATAATATAGCTGTGTGACATATGCTTTAAAGAACAAAAGATTAACCTTTTTTGTGCACTGTTAAGTGTACTGAGGATATAGATGTAATGGACAAATATATTTAAATACTTAAATACAGAAGACCTATTCCAAATAAAATCTTGTTCTAAAAAGAAGTAGCTTAGAGGAAGTCCTTACGGTGTTCTCCACTTAGCTGCACCAGTTAACTTAACTGTACCTCAAGTAGTTAATCCATGTACAAACAAATCATCTAAAGATGATGATTATAATTGAAAAGTTTAAATTATAAATCAGAAATTATTAGAATATAATTTTAACGAATTTATCCAGGGTTTATCTTGTTAATGGTTAAGCTTGAAACCTTTTAAGTTCACAGGGGCTACTTTAATAGGATATTTATTGTTCCAGAGAAAACAGCTTTGAGAATTTTAATTCATAGCTCAAGGATCGTATAAGTTTCACAAAGATGTACGGCATCCTACAATTCAAAGCTAAGCCTACTATTTGCTCCTCCTAGTGGTAGTTAGTATGATTAACTGTAGCTTTTGTTCTGAATGACAGAAAATACTTCTTTTGAGACACTAAAAGATTTGCTATGTGTTCCACATTGTACTGAATTCTCCTTAATGTGGTCTACTGGAAAAATTAAAAGACTGTGTCCTCATTAATTTCAAACTATTTTTGCTATTGTATATTTAAGTTCTTATTTGAGGCAACACCATGTTTAAAGCCAATTGAACATCACAATCCCTCTCAGTGACATTTTTTGAAAGCAGAAACTGACATGGAATATGTCATCCATGCAAAACATAACTAACTCTTTTAAATAAAGAATTAATGCCTATTGGGAAAACGGTAGAAAGGGGAAAAAAGTCTTTAAGAGATAGCAAAGCCATTAAATGTTATACATGTACATTTTAAAAATTATTATTTCATATATATATATATATCCTATGACTTTTATTCCAGCTCATGGCCCCAGGGTTTTAAAACAAATGAGAGGGGTGTATGTGTGTGTGGAATAAAACACCAATTCATATCATGTTCGAAGAGGCTCATTTGACGATGATGTGATTTGAGTTTTAATATGCAGTATCATGAAACTTCCCTATTAACTCTATTCTAGAATATCAAAGTGAAATAACAGTGGGAGACATTTTATAAAATTTTAGTTATAATCTACCAACAATATTTGAATGAATATTGCTTACAGTATCTTATTCAACAAAGATATGAACATTTTTTCTATGAAGACTGATTTTATTTCTAGGAAATACTATTGCTAGGCATAGGAAGTGGGTCTGTATCTGCATGTATGCAGTTGAAATCCGCAATGAATTACAACAACGTTTAGAAACTAAAGGGATTCTTATTAAATGTAACTTTTTGACTATAACACAATCATGTAAAGAAAATAATCTCCAGTTCTATTATAATTTTTAAAACATATTTAAAAGGATCAAAACCACATGTGAATCAAAATGTTCAATATTTGTTAATTCTGAAGGATGTTTTTGTGAGATATCTGGATCCTGAAAATTAATTTTAACAGATGCATCTTCTCACTGACTTTCTGAACACAGCAGGGGCCAACAGAAACAAGCCAAGCAACATACTGTGACTAACAGAACTCTGTTATAATCAATCTTTTATGTCTGTCCCTCTATCAATATATGACAATTTCCAAACAGATACTGAGACTAAATACTGTGAATCATACTAGCTAATGCATTCAAATTAGCTTTAATTAGTTCTCGTAATCCTTCCTCTAGTACCAGGTTCTTTACATTTGGTCTTTACCAAGGACCCTTCATTTGCAGTATCTTGAGACTTGGTTTGATTCAAGTCATTAATCATCTTGCTCCAAGCAAACTTATTTTAAAACATACAGCCCAATAAGTAAAGCATATGGAATTGTAGCAGCCCTGTTATTAGAAAGTACCTTTTTTAAAAAAAGTTTTGTCTGTACTCAAGAACTTCAGTGGCAGATGCAGAAGGGATTCTTGAGGATAGAAAGTTTGAAAACCACAGGCACATAATCTTCTTTTGTATCACTGGCATGTATTACTCTTGTAGCTTTTTAAATTTGCAGTCAACATGCGCTTAAGAACAGCAAACTGGACAAGTATTGGGGTATGGATTTGAAGAATATGAGTTCAAAACCTGCTCTGCTTAGAACTAATCAAGTAAGCTTGGGAGCTAACTTACCAACTGTAAAAAGGGAATAAATAACCAAGATAGTTTGGATGCAGGCCAATAAATCAAGAATAATTTGAAACATTAACAGTAGTATATAAGATACTAATGCTGTTTCCTCTTTCTGTAAAAACCCTCTTCTTTTTGCTATGTTCCTTATAAGAATGGAAAGAGCAACCTTTGAAAACTTATTCACTTAAACCTCCTTTGATTTTTGCAGAGCTCACCATTCACTAGCCATCTGCCTATAAAAGACGCAAGATGAATTCCATGAAATAGCAGTGGATTCCAAACAAAGAAAGCACTTCCTTCAATCATTCTCATATCCATTATCGGATACTTACAACATGCTTCAGTGGAGAAGGCGGCATTGTTGCTTTGCCAAGATGACCTGGAATACCAAACGGTCCCTCTTTCGCACTCACTTCATTGGTCTACTCTCTCTTGTGTTCCTTTTTGCTATATTTCTGTTTTTTAATCACCATGATTGGCTGCCTGGGAGAGTTGGATACAAAGAAAACCCTGTGGCTTATACTACACGGGGATTTAGATCAACAAAAAGTGAAACAAACCACAGCTCTTTAAGGACCATTTGGAAAGATGCAGTTCCTCAAACCCTGAGGCCACAGATGATAACTAATTCCAATGATACAGGATTGTCGCCTCAAGGAGTTACTGGTTTAGAGAACACGCTCAGTGCCAATGGGAGTATATACAATGCAAAAGGAACTGGTCATCCAGCTTCGTATCATTTTAAGTACATCATCAATGAGCCTGAAAAATGCCAGGGGTCAAGTCCATTCCTAATACTTCTTATAGCTGCAGAACCAGGTCAAGTGGAACCTCGGCAAGCTATCAGACAAACCTGGGGGAATGAAAGCCTGGCACCTGGGATTCAAATAGTTCGGATTTTTTTGCTGGGTTTAAGTATTAAATTAAATGGATACCTTCAGCAAGCCATCCTAGAAGAAAGCAGACAATACCATGATATTATCCAACAAGAATATTTGGATACTTACTACAACTTAACAATTAAAACACTTATGGGGATGAACTGGGTGGCAACCTACTGTCCAAACGTTCCCTATGTTATGAAAACTGACAGTGACATGTTTGTAAATACAGAATATTTAATACATAAGCTTTTGAGGCCAGAGCTGCCTCCCCGGCAAAAATACTTTACTGGCTATCTAATGAGGGGGTATGCACCTAATCGGAACAAAGACAGTAAGTGGTACATGCCACCTGATCTGTATCCAAGCGAACGCTACCCTGTATTTTGTTCTGGGACTGGCTATGTGTTTTCTGGAGATTTAGCAGAAAAAATTTTTAAGGTTTCATTGAGTATCAGACGATTGCATTTAGAAGATGTATATGTAGGCATCTGTCTTGCCAAACTGAGAATTGACCCAATGCCCCCACCCAATGAGTTTGTCTTCAATCACTGGCGGGTTTCTTATTCCAGCTGTAAATATAGTCATCTAATTACCTCCCATCAGTTCCAGCCTAGCGAACTGATCAAATACTGGAACCACTTACAACAGAATAAGCACAATGCCTGTGCCAACACAGCAAAAGAAAAAGCGGGAAAATATCGTCATCGTAAACTGCACTAGAAGGGACTTTTCTAAAAATACTGCAAAGTGTAAAAAGAAAAATACAGTTGAAAGCATGTACAGTGAAAAAAAATGATGTGCTTAAGAGGGAGATATTTAAGATGAAGCACTTAATGTATGAAAATTATTTTTTTAATTTAAAAAAAAATTATCTAATTCTTTAAAATATTACAAGAGGAATATTAACCAAAAGGTTTTCAATGGCAGGAAAGAGAAAGATCGTATCAAGATATTCGTGTTAATGTGCAATAATAAGCATGCACAGCTTGGTGGTACAATTGCTATTTTATGTGCCAATAAAATTCACTACGCAATTATTCCATATTAATTTAATTTTTAAAAGATTAAAAAAAGAATGGAAAAGAGTGAAAAACATAACTGACAAAATACAAATCAAATTCCTCCCACTGACGGAAGTTTCAACTGAGTATATACATCATTTTCAAATGTGATTTTATGTGGCATCAATGCCATCAGAAGGTTTAAAGAATTCCCTTGTTCCAACAGAGATAATGTCTTGGAATAAGAACACTGGCAACTGGAATATAAAATCTCATACTGATCATAGCTTGTCTCATTAAATATTCTTAGTGAACTGTTTCATTGTAGAACAAGTCCTTTCAATAGTGAAAACACTTAGATTGCCATATGAGATTCCCATTATTTCTTGACAATTTCTACCTAATATTTTAGTAATATATCAAAATAGAGGAACTGCTTTTAGAGACCACAGTGGGAATATACTATGTTTAAAGGCTGTATTTATACATTTCATTTGGAAAATATTTAACATTCTATATAATGTTAAAAAAAAAATAGGCATGTTTCAGTTTTCCTGATATGCCATCTATTTTTGCAATTCACACAACAGGACCCACTCAACGAGAATTACTCTGGTAACTAAAGTATAAAAAAAGGATCTGATCCACTCGTTATTACATACTTTAGATTCAACTAACAATGTTCTCCATATTGACCTTCCAACTGCAGCTAACAGAATGGAAAATTGTTAATAAAACTATCAATTTAATCCTGACCCTTGGTGAATAAGGAGGTTTTAAAACTTACAAATGATAGATGTAGAAGGATTCCTTAATAGTACTTTGCTGCAGCTTCAAATTGGTAAAATTCATTAATATTAACGCTAAATGGTTGAGATCATTGTTTTATTTTTTACAACCACACTTCAAGCTTAAAGACGTTATGATTTCAAACTTCAAAGATCTGGCTTAAACAAAACAAGAGTTGTCATCAGAAAACTCAACTCAGTCCTTCCAAGTACTGGTGAAAAGCAGATACTATATTTGCAAAATAGGTGAACATTTTCCAGAGGTTTCTCTTCATGCAATGACACTAGGCTGCCACCAATTTGCATACTTGTTCTCAAACTGCAGTTCCTATATTTCCTTGCCATTGGCAATGATGGCTAGAGTTGATAGGAGCTAGAGTTCAAAAACATCCAGAGGGCCATATGAGGCACCATCCCTGATTTAGAAATGTATTTAACAAACTAGCAGATAAATGAAAACCGGAAGATACAAAAAGTCATATTTATCCCATCCAGTGCCTTTCTGAAGAACTGAAATATGCCCATCATATTTCTAATGTGAAATTGCAAAATTCCACTGGCTGTTTTTGCCCATGATCAATCTAATTAATTATGCCTGCAGTATTCTTATTACCTACAAGCATTAAAAACCACAACCTCATGCCCAACTTGGGAGAAATTGCTTCACTGGTTTACAGAACACTTGTGCTGGCTTAAATATGAGCTCATTAAAAGGAAATCAAGCCATAGAAAGTTGAAAAGGTATGAAATGGGAGCATCCATAGTTCCTATACTGATGTAGAAGATTTAATGGGGAATAAGTTGTGGTATTATGTTGTCTGTTCCCACCCTCCATCAAATAAAGTACTTTCTCTTCACTGTTCAGATGATATTCCTTCATAATACACAAGTCCAAATGGGTTAAGTTTCTCACTCACAATAAAAAATTTGTACTAGAAAACAGGGAACAGGTGGATAGTTTCCTTTAAAACAAACAACAGAATCTGTATGCAATCAGATTTATGGTTGTAGCTCCTGCTTCATTATAATCTGATTTCTATATTTCTACAGTTAGTTAAGCTACATTTTTGTAAGCATACTGAAAACAAAACAAACTGTCCAAAATCAAAATTTTGTACATAGTAGTGAGCAATTAAAAACTAAATCAATTTACTGATAGCAATAAAACATTATTTAGTTTGATGGACTTCTTCTGACAACAAAAACTGTTAGCAGTATAGTTCCAATGATGTTGCTCTCTTATTCTTAAAGAACTATCCTAAATGCAACAACAAACTTTTAACATATAAGGGAAACCAAATGGGGTCTATTTACAACCAACAGAGAAAAGTGGAGAAGTCACTGCCTTTTTGAGTTATTGGGAATTGCCTCCTTTTATTCTCAATGGATTGGAGCCAGACAAAGCTGATTGCACTGAAGTTCCACTGAAATTAATGAGATTGGTTACACAAGAAGTCTCAATTGTTCCAATGGAAACTAAATAAAATTAAAGCAGTTGGGATACAATGGTTTTAATAGATACTGATTTTTCCAACTATAACTAATGACTATACAGTGTGTGTATTTTTTAAACATTAATATATTTTTGTTTTATGGCATTACATTTTATGAAATGAAATAATTTAATATTTTTGCCCATGACCAAAAAAAAAAAAAAAAAAAAAAGCTTGTAGGTCTCAGCTGTTAAAGGAGGAATGGGTAAGCCATAGCCCACACGTGGCTTCTCTATATTCTCAAATCATGCCACTGAATGTCAGGCTTAGAATGGCCACATTTCAGTTGAGTGATTTCAGGTCTTTGGAACTGTGGCTATAGAGTCTGAGGATAAAGATGGGAGTGATTTGCATCCATTCTGATTCCTAACCTAATCCCCTGCAAACTTAAAAAAAAAGGGGGGGATACTAACCCTGCCTTTTCTCGTGATAATGACAACATTACTGGATAACCTCCTGCCACACTCAGTTGGTTAGGAAGCTGAACTGCAGTCCTGGCTCTTCAAGTATTAGAGAATTGGATTTCCAAGATGTAGATTCAATCTCTCAGGATAAAAGTATTTTAAAAAAAAATGGGTTGAGGAAGCCTGATCTTCTGGAAGTAGAAAAATGTAACTAAAATAATAAAAGAGGTAGTGATCACCTACATTTGCATGCCGTAAGTAAGAGTTCATTTCCTATAATCACTTATTAAATTAACCCAGTTACAGGAAAACAAACCCCAACTCTTGGTGATCCATTGATGTTTGTCATTTTACACATGCAAAGCATGATAGCTGTGATTACTTTATGACAACTCTAAACAGAAAGACTGCCCTAGTGTTTCAAGGACATATGTGTCGTGATAATGCATGTAAGGTTGAATGAAGATTCTGAAAGAGGCCCTTCACCAACTCTGTTAACACAAGCAAAGCTCTACTTCTCAAAGCCTCAAAACGACTGTGTATTTTGAAAGTACTGTTGGCCTCTTGGAAGACTGTCCACAGCATTCTGGGGATGGCTGTGCCTACCAGGTATTATTCTTTCCTGGCAGTCTCAATGGAAGAGTTGTCTGTGCATGTATATGCAGAAAATCAGGAACAGCCTTCAAAGGAGCAATGTAAGCCTTGAAAGAATGCTGGTGCTCTAATGCTTTGAGGAGGGATGCTTTACTCATGCCAACACATGTTGTGAAACACTTCTTTTGCATGCTTTGCATAAGCCTAAAAT